TTTCACTACAATCAAGCTATAGTGTCATCTTTGTTGACAGATAGGTTGACATAATACTACACGATAGTTTCTCATTGGATTGTTTTATACAATGTCATCATTTTCATCTATTTATGCATATGTCAAAGAAGATATTAAGAGCGTGTTTGGGAACGATTATCAGCAAAATTATAGTCGTTGCTGCCCACAATATTTGACTCTTTATGTCATGGCATTGAAACAAGTTTGAAAAAAAATGGTTCAAAAACCCATTTCTTGCTGATTTTAATCGTTCCCAGACATGTCCTAAGATTCATATGATAGTAGCAAAATTTCTTTCACTATGACCTTCCCCACCAGTAGACAAGGACTAGCCTCATTAATTCTCATTGGGTGGGAGGTGCAGCTAACTCATCTATCCACTCATCAATCACGGTATTCAGTTGACTTGCACTGATAATCCCTATTGTATTTATAAAAACACTTAATAGTAAACATTCGAGCCAATCATCGTTGATTTTATATTGTATATAGTGGTCTTTGATCTCTTCGGTCACTGCGAACACTCAATCAATGCGATCAGATGCGTCTAAAGAATAATTTATGACGAAATTGAAAAATATAGGATTCATGAAATACAAGGAAGTTGGCTATATTTATAATATTGTTTCTAATAAGTGCACTCGATTTTAATTGTATTAAATATTTTAATTTTTACTTAATTTCATATTTATATCACGACTTTTTTATTGCAATTTAATTTTAAACTTTTCATTAATTAGTACACATTGTTCTCAAATATTATAGACTCAAAAATTAACCATTAAACAATTTTCAAATATATTTGCCAAACACATATTTAAAGACATTTTGATAGCTGAGAAATTATTATTATTATTAAAAGAAATATATTCTCAGATTATAAAATGATCAATGTTTTTAAATTTGAAATCAAGGGTATTTTGGACAAAAACAAAATATGATTAGTACAGAAGTGTCCAACGTATGTTGCTCAAAATGAACGCATTCTGTACACTGTAGAAGATAAACATAGTGGACTGCTTCAGTGAAATATAAACTATAGAAATGGGTACTGACTTACTAATATCCAAAGAGCCTGGAAAACGGGATAAAAATTCAAATTATGGAAATCACTCACTACGACAATACAGTAAGATGCCTGTTGGCACGAGCATTTCAAAAACACATTGCAGGCAGAAATATAGTACAATAAAACGGCGAAAAAATTGAGGGGAGAATGCAAGGC